TCCTCAAAATCGAACATGAGAGTTTCTTGTCATCTGGCAGATATAGTTACACCAAATAAATAATTAAAGATAAAGAAAGGAATTATGGCTTTTAAATTCTAGAATATCACCCCCCTCTCACAGCTCCCCAAAAAAAAGGTCTACTTCGTGCCTTCTCCTTCTGTTAGTATATTTTCATTTTGGTTACAAACAGAGGTAGAACATAAGCTAGACTAAAGGGGTCATGCCCCCCAAAACTTTAATTTTGACCCTTAAAATTTAAAAAGAATTTAATTTGGCCCCCTAAAATTTTAGAAATTCAAATTAATTTTTTTAATGTTCTTAATTAAACTCCTCCCGTAATTTTTAAAAATTCTCCTTAAGCCTCTCAAATTTTCAAAAATTGTAGTTAGACCCTAATTTTTGTGGAAAAAATATAAACTAAACCCTTCAAAAAATTTAAAAATCTTAAGTTAAACCTCTAATTTTTTAAAATTTTTAAGTTGCCCCCAAACTCTATCACCAAGTTTCGCCACTGCTTACAAAGCGATTTGTCGTCACCGTTTTTCGCCCGGTTGGGAAAAAACCAGTTTGACTTAGGGTTTTTTCTTTGAAAAGATTTTGAAATGTGAGGAGTCGCCACCAATCATTTTAAGATGCGATCGGGACACCATAAAAATTGGTTGATTTTAATAAAATATTTTATTTTTATCAAAATACCAAGTTTAGGGTCTACGAAAACCAGAAAATAAGTTCGAGAGTCAGTTACGCGTGAGGAAGGATTAGCATCACCATAGCGTCCAAATATCAGTACCTAGTTGATTACCCTATATTTAAAATTGGAAATTTTGAGTTCAAACTTTTTTTAAAAAATTTTATTATGGATGCACAGTTGAAAAAGGTATTCGTTTATTAAAGCCAATAACATTCGCCTCCTAGCATGAATGCAGGAGATCAGCTATTGTGCTCAATAACCAGACATTGCCTCGAGATTTTTGAAAATCATGATACGGTTTTGAAATGGATGTCGACCTATTTCGGGAATAACCAATAGTCACCCCTGAGCATACTTGCGAGAGATATACTATTGACTCCCTAATACGTGAACATTGCCTTGTTTTTTAAAATATATGCAATCAATCAGTTAATCGATTATAATCCTTCTTTTACTAGGTGAGTTTGTTAAAGGATTTTTAGGCTAAAAGTTGTCAAATTGTGTAATTAAAAATCTAAAGGCCTAAACCTAAAAAATGTAGGTTCTAATATTAATCATATTTGATTTTAACTTGTTATTAAATCAAATAATCGAGATGGTCCCTTAAGCATTTAGGCGAGGGTTAACTCAAATTACTCCCTAAATTAAGGGATGAGATTGAAATCTAACCTAAATTGGAGGTTCTAATTGTTAACCTAATCAATTATGTTAATTTAAAATTCTAATTAAGAGTTTAAGGACTAACCAATAAATCAAGGCTCTAATAATTATTCTAATTGACTATTAAAAATTAAGGGATTAAACTAAATAGGCTTTAAAATTAGTTAATGATTAATAATTTCAGGATTCGAACAATCGACTCGAGTAATTAGACATTTTATGCAAAAAATTCAAATCGAATTGCCCCCTAATTAAAACTAAAGTGAAACCTTAATTATTAAATCAAATTATGTATTAGAAGATCCTAATCTAAGGACAATTTCTAAAAACTAATTAAATAAAACACTAGAAATGCCAATTAATCATACCAATTTAAATGAAAATAAAAAAACAATGGGACAATTTAAATGTAAACAAGAAATAAATGAACCAACTAATTAAATTAAATAGCAAAGAGAACACTAGTCTTGCAAAATTCGAATAATAAAAAAACAAATTAAATAAATTAAACTTAAAGAAAAGAATTTAAAATTATAATACAAGGTGAAATGCAATAAAAGCATAAGGCCTAGAATGTGACAAACATCACAAATTGACGATCAAAATTAAATTAAAACATAAATATTATAATCAAGGATCAAATTAAAATAAACAGAAATAAAATAACTAAATCAATACAAATTAAAAAATATATTAGTGACCTAAATGCAAACACGCGTTGAAGTTAAGAGGACTAAAGCATGATTGTCTATTTTTTAAAGCCCAAAATGCACTAATTAACAAAAATGTGAAAAATACAAGATCAGACCAATAAAATTAAAATAAAATAAAAACAATCACCACAAGTGACCAAAATGTAAAAACAAACGTAAAGTAGAGGGATTAAAATAAAATTCTACCAGTATTTTATTTCAGCCAACACTATTAAAATAAAATGGAAAATCACAGAATAAGTATATAAATTTCGAGACTAAAAATAAAAAATGAGACCAAGGACTGAAGTGTAAAAACACGACAAATATTAGGGAACCTATGCGCGATTTACCCATAAATTTTTACTATAAATGTCACTTTCCCCTTTTTTTCATTTATCCCCTAACAAAAAAACCCTCTCTTTCTTCTCTCAATTCTCTGTTTTCCCTATCACCAGCCGAAAACCAAACCACATCAAAAAGACATCGCCGACCACCACGTCTCTGTCCCGAACACCGCTCCGACCACCACCAACGACGGTCGGAGTTCCTAAACCAAACCCAAATGACTCTATCCGCTCCGATCTACTCACCTAGCCCCTAAACAAAACCTAAAAAATGATACTAAAACCTTAATGCAAGACCCAACTCTCAATATTTCTTTAACTCTTCGGTTTCTCTCACCGGTGAACTCCCCGACGAATCGAGTTCCCCAAGGAAAGCTCTATATCCCTATAGGTAACCCCTTTTATCTCCTTTCCTTCTATTATTTTTTTATTTTTTCGAATCATATAAAAAAATTTTGAAGAACGAAAAGAAAAAAAAAACCTCCTTCAAATTTTTTTTTGCTTGGTATTGCTTTCCGAAGAGTGAGGAAAAATTCCCCTTACACTTTTAAGTTTTGGGTTCTTATACCTAAACTTACAGAGATAAATAAAAATATAATCCCTACTTGCTCCTCTGACTATCACTGTATATGGCATTTTGTGTTTTTTAATGCCTCGAATTTTTTGGGGTTTGGGTTGGATTTGCTTTGATTTCTTCATTTTCATTGTGTTGTTGAGGTGATGACGGTGGAATAGTGAAGGTGGCATGATTCACGGGCGGCAGGCGACGATACGTTAACGGATCGGAGAGAAAAAAGTGATGGTGACTAAGGAAAATGAGCGGTCGACGTGTATGGCTCAGGCGCTGATGACGTGCCAGTGAGGCTCCGATGCCGGTGGTGACTCGCCGGTGAAGGGAGCCCAAAAGCCACCTTTTGGATGCATGCAATCTTAACCATTGGATCAAATCTAGATCTAACAGTTTAGATTAATTTGTGCTTATTCACTTGGATGAGTGATGTGGCAAGCTCCTAGCCCTTGGATCTAACCCTCCCTCAATATCTCACATGGGTTGTGTTTGTTTGACAAGGATTGAAAAGATGATTGCCCTTGAATGAAAGCTAATCAAGGGATGATATCATTTAGTGTTTCTTTACATGGATTAGTGATGTCATCATTAATTACACCTCAAAACAATGTTTTGAAAATTGGATCGGACCGGCCGATTCAATCGATTTAACCGTGAATCGCTGCCTGGTCCGGTTCATTTTACCCTGGTTAAACCGTTACTAGTGAACCGCAAGGAACCGTTGAACCGGCTATGAACCGTTCGAATCGGACCGGACCGTGAACCGGTTCAACATAAATGTTTTTAGTTTTTTATTAAATGTTTTTAGTATTTTTATTTAATTTTTTTAAATAATTATGACGTCATTCGATCGGTCTAACTGGTTAGACCGGTTGAACCAATGAACCGGTAGCACGACCGGTTTGCTGACCGGTCCGGTTCTGAAAACCATGCCTCAAAAGTAGCACCTCAATTAAATGTTTGTCTCCATTTAAAATTAAAAAAATATCATCTCAAAGAAAATGATACAATAGAATCTAAACATTGAACCCGGTTTTATAATAATAATAATAATAATAATTTATAAAAATACTAATATAATAATAATAATAATAATAATGTTTAACGGTTGAAAAATGGTGATTACACGATTTGATTTGTGTTAGGATATAAAAGCTTTTTCTACGGCGGGGTTTATAGAGTGGGAAAATGGCAGATGGTACTCGAAAGTATTCTTTGGAATATATGTATATATATTGGTTTGTTGTTAGTACAAAGAGAAACTAAAATTTAGAAGGCTGATGAGTTGCAATTTGATATCTATATTCATAAATTGGTGTTTATTTGGTATTTAATTTTGAGAATAATATTTGATATACAAACTTGGTAAAATTGAAATTATATGAGTAATAACTACCAACCAAGCAAAGTGCCTTTATACAGCTGCAAATAGACAAACAATACCACCATAAATCTATGAATTAGTTGCTCATATGTAGGTCACCATAAGGAACTGCAAATTAGTGGAGCAAATATATTCATAATAAAGACGCATCTATATATTTGAAATCAATAAATTGAAATTTTCACCAAAACAAAATAATACATACTATTAATTAAGAGGACTTCAATATCACTATGTGGTTTAGGCAACATGCCAAGCTTTGAACCCTGCCAAAAGAAACAGGATTATTTGTGATAATTTCAATGCTAAACCTCTCGGCAATCATAGTTTGATCCTGGAAGCTGAGTGGAATAGAATGTGATAATTTGGAGAGCCTGCAGCAAAAGAAAGAATGGAAGAAAGAAAGAATTGTGAGTAAAATATGAGGACATGCTTAAAATGGAAAAATTTATCAACAGTCGGTATTCAACTTGAAGAATAAGTTCAATTTTATTGGACAAATTACTGATGAAAATGGTAATTCTCAAAACTTTGGTGCACATGATAATAATAGAAGTACGCACAACTTTGAGAGCTCGGAACCCACATCAAAAAGACAGTAAAGAGGAGAAACTAGCTAGACGTATAAAGAATAAACATGGGAGACCATTAAAACATACTTACCTGGACTGGGTCGATGTGTGATCAATAAGACTCATGGCCTAGGCTAGTGGCTTTCAATGCACTTGGAGTTGCACCGCCAAAGGTCACCTCAAGTGGGAGATCCTATGTCATTCTTTGTGGCAGTGGGGGCTGCATTCGCGCGGCCCCTTCCTCAATTCTAGTTAAAAGTATCTGTTGTCTAATAAGCAACTTTTATTTGCGTTGTGCATTCATGTTCCACTATTCCTGGATTTGTGAACTCAACTTATATTGAGCCCAAGATGATTTGTTTTAGGAGCCTGGTGGGAGCAGTGTTATTAAAGGTACTGTTGCTGAAATTGTCATTCCTTCATTTGGTAAATCCTTCACATTTTGGTAGCATCTACCAAGGGAAATGTCATTCAACTCTTTCTCTTGAGTCTAGAAGTAGTTATATGAGATGCAATATGAAAACTACTCAAAATCATTGTAAAGATAAAAATGCATCGGCAGCTCCATGCACGAAGTTTGTTTGTTTAGATGTTGCATAGAGTTGATGTACATATTCCAGAAGGCACACGGGAAAATGTTCAAGCTTCCATGATATATCGATCTTTAACACAGGGCTAGTTTTCCCAAACTATCAAGCTTTCGTACATATTGCATCAAATCTAGTTTTCTATAATATTACCTCAACCAAATGGACATTGGTTTCCATTTATCATTCTATTTTCAGTTTTAATGTAAAGAAATGATTGCTCGTTAAAATGAAATTGTTGCTCGTTAAGCTCGCTAGAATTTTTTTCCTTATTTTTAAAATATATGTAAAATCTAATAATACTATATAGATGTTAATATAAATAAAAGTAACAAAAGTAACAAAAAAATCAGAATAGTGTTTAAATTAATTCTAAAGCCTAAACTCCAAAGTAATGATCCAAAAATACACCAAATTAATATATTACAACAATTCTTGAAAAAAGTTGAACAATATATAACCAATCCTAAAAGTATGACAATCAACATCATAATATATATATAACGAGTTACTCGCGAATTTATCGAGTCGAGCTCAAGCTATTCACAAGCTGCTCAACTCAATTAGCACCCTAAAAATGACATAGTTTTGGAAGGTACAACTGGAGCTAAAACGAAGCGATTTGATGGAGACCTGAGTGCTCGACCCCCAAGTTCTCGATTCGCGAACTAATCCGTCTGCTAGAAAGATTAAATTTCACCCTTATTACATGATTTATGTGCTTAGTTAGTCCCGATAAATTTCAATACAATCATATTATTAAGCGTAAATTACAAATTTAATCATTGAACTTTCAATTTTTCAATTTACTCATTAAACTTTATAGAGTGGATTTTTGGTCACTCGGTTGTTAATTAACTTTGTAACGGTGTTATGACATGACAACCTACACCAAAATGACGTTGTTTTAGATTCCTACACAAAATCAAATTTTATTCAAAACGATGTCGTTTTGATTCCTTATAAAAACTTATTTTTCTCATTTCTTCTTCTTTTTCTCTTTTTCTCTCTCTATCTAAACAAATATAAAATATGACCTCCATATTAGCTATCGTTCTGGCCACCACCACTTATCGTCATCGGAGGCGGTGAGTCAAAGACCTTCGTCTTCCTCTCCGTTTTCCAAGACCTCACCTCTTCCTCTCCCTCTCCCTCTCCCAAATCCTTAACCCCCACCTTCACCATCCATCTCTCCCCATCCCCAAAACCCTCATAGTCTCCCCTTTCAAATCCTTACCGTCTCTTGTTCCCCTCCCCTAATTTCTACTTTCGAAAAAGAAGTACTACCTTTTGGTTTACCAACAGGATGTAGCATGATATTGGAGCATGTAGTGTGCTGACGTATGCATGATTTGTTAGGTTGTTAGTATTGTTACGTGTGACGTATGCATAAGTTGTTACAATTGCAGTTAGTTGTTAGGGTTGTAATTAGCTATGCAGTTAGGGTGAGATGCCTATATAAACACTGTGATGTAGTTGAAAAGTATGTGAATAATACTTTTACTCTTTACTTTATATTCAATATTTCAACATAGTATCTTTCACCGAAGTTTTGGGAGGTTCCGTTGTTTTTTCGTTGCTTGAGGTTTTGTCATGTTGAACAGTGACAGTTCCTCTTCTCCGATGGAGTTTGTTTCGAGGAATGCTAAAGTTTTTTTCAAACAAAAAGGTAAATGTAGTTCTTGATGAAACAAACTTTCTGTTATGGAAGCAAAAAGTGATGCTCAAGATTTACAGTCATCGTTTGGAACTGCTGTTGACATGATCGATGCCTACTCCGTCGCCAATGGTGCTTGGTGATTCAGTAGAGGCTGTATCAAATGATTTGTATGAGAAGTTTATGGTTCAGGATAGTGCGCTTACGTCCTAGTTACATTTAATGATTAGTCCACCGTTTTTACCTCAGTTTGTGGATGCAGAGACGACATCAGCGATTTGTAATACGATACTGCAATTTGTTTACAAATCAATCTACTAATGTTGTTATTAGTTTACATTATAAGCTTTAATCTCTTAAGAAATATGATGATTCGATGAGAATATGTCTTACTCGAGTAAAGGAGGTCTGTGATGCCTTGGCCTATTGCGAAGTGTGGTGTCTCAAGTTGTGCATGTTGCTAGCATTCTGAAGGGGTTACCTCGTGAGTATCAGTCGTTTGTGGTTGTGATAAAGACTATGCGAGAGTCAGTGACTCTTGATACGATATATACTATTTTGATGGATGCTGAAATATAATTGGTTGGGTTTGATGATCCAGTTGGATTTCTTACTATGAGTGCTCATGTTGCTCAAGGAAAGGTGTCGAGTAAATTTGTGGATCAGTCTAAGCATAAATCTTTCTTTCGTCAATCATATTCTCGTGGACGATCTGCTGGTCAAATATGAGGCCACGCCCAATTATAGTGTCAACTGTGTGGGAAAAATGGGCATTTGGTTGATCGATGTTGGCACCGATTTGATGAAGAATTTCCTAGAGTTACAGCCAATAGTAACTCTTATTCGAAGGATGAATCTTGTACTGCTTATTATTCTGTGAGTGACAGCAAGGATATTGGGTGTGAATGTTGTCTTGCCAAGAAAACTAGATCTAAATATATGGCTCATACTAAGCCATATTCTGGTCGTGAACAATGGGTCATGGATTTGGGTGCCACAAACTATGGTACATTTGATGGTATGAATATTGCTCAGACTGATGACTTTAATAACCTAGGTAAACTTAATGTTAGTGATGACATTACTTTAGATGTAGAATATGTTGGTCTTTTATCTTTACATTCGTCTTCTCGTTCTTTGTAATTAACTGATTTATCGTATGTGCCAAGAATAACCAAGAATTTGTTCTCGGTGTTGAAGCTTGCTAGGGATGATAACATTTTCCTTGAGTTCCATGCACATAAGTGTTGTGTTCATGATGAAAAGTCTGGTGTAGTTTTGCTTCGTGGAAGAGAATATGGTGGTTTGTATGTATTTGATGTAGATTCCTCAGTTGGTGCTTGTTATAGGGCAGAAGTTAATACAACATAATTGTCTAAGAATGTGTATGATCTGTGGTATCAGCGATTGGATCATCCCTTGCATGATAGCTTAGTTACAGTTTGTAAAGAACTGAATGTAACTCCTCCTCCAAGTGTTAATAAAACATGTGTTGCCTGCCATATGGGAAAGAGTTATAAGTTACCTTTCCATGACTCTACTTCTGTTTATGATACTCCTTTTCTATTAGTGTTTATAGGTCTTTGGGGTTCCTCTCATGTTGTGTCCAATGGTTATAAGTACTATGTTACATTTTTTGATGCCTATACTAGGCATTCATGGTTATATATGTTAAACGATAAGTCTCAAGTTGTCACTGCCTTTGAGATGTTTCGAAAAATGGTCAAGGTTCAATTTGGTTTACCTATAAAAGTAGTACAAAGCGAATAAGGTGGTGAGTATCGCAGTTTATCGAGATATTTACTAAAAGTAGGCATCACTCATCGTCTTATAAGCCCACACATATCTGAGCAAAATGGAGCAGTTGAACACAAGCATCGCCATGTGGTTGAGCTTTCCCTTGTTTTTCTTGCTCAAGCTTTGATAAATCCGTAAAAAGGTCATATTTAGGACCTTTTCACTTAAGTTATTGACTTTCTAAGATCCCGTTTAGAATCATATAGATGCATTTAGGAGCATATAGTTGCATGTGGTGGAATTATGTTTGCCATGGCATTTTATTGACTATCCGTAAAAAGGACTTTACACACGCCGGCTTGAGCTTATTTTCAAAGAGAAAAAGGTCTCTTCTTTTTTCGTCAATCCATATTGTCGTGGCATTCCTCCGTTGACAAGCCAAAGGGAGTGGCATTCTAGGAGTCCGAGAGGAGCTAGTTCGCTGGGACAGTCCGTGGTAGCCGAGGGAAGCTCCGACAGTGCATGTCGAAGGCTTTTCCTCCTTCCCTTTGCTCTTTGCTTTCATTATTTATCATTTGGGTTGTAAGGAACGGATTAACTTTCTTTGTTCTTACTATATTCGAACCCCACCATGAACTAATCCTATTTGGTGGGGTTCATTTTGGATTTTAAGATTTGCTTTAATGAATGGTTGTTTTTGTATGTTATTATATGTTTTGTTTATGAAGCTTAGTGCCTTAAAGTTGTAGGAGCTATGAGAGTAGCCATTCCTTAGGAGATTACTCAGTGTTCGAGAGAATGTCTAGGTAGCACATCCTTAGTGTTCGAGAGAAACTAGGGAGGAACCACATAAGCAAGGGGTTCTATATAGTAACTAAGCCTAATCCACCTTAGAGATAAGGTTAGGATTTCATTCGACTAATAGGAGTTGTGCATGAACGATATGTTAGATGTTAATACTGCTGCAAAAAAGGTATTGTCGAGATATATCCTATTAATTAGACCAATAGGATCACTGCAGGGGCTAACGCCAACTGGTTTTGCCAAGGCATCTTCAATCTGTCGAGTCCCCTAACTAGAGATAGCATAAGGCACCCTTAGTAGACTCTATCGGGCAGATAAGACCTACAAGTAAGACCATTCTGAGAAGTAGACTTAGATTTTCCTAAGTGACTCCTATCACTCATTCCCATAGTAACTTGTCGTGTGAGGAAGTTAAAGTCCTAGTAATCAAATTCTATATTTACATTTTATTTTGC